GATCACACAGAATAGTAATGTAAGTATCACAGAGTAAACCAATGTTGGTGTGGTTGTCGGGACCGTTGTAGGCATTTTAGGTGACATTTTTTTAAGCATAGAAAAGTTATGAACTAGTTCCTGTAGCGTCCACTCCTGCACGTAAAAACGTATTGGAGTTTGGCTCGCCGACGCACCACCACGTGCTCCGGGGTGACCACACCAGCACCATGTGACGTGTGCACCCGAGACAAACCATCGACAATCCGCATACTCTAGTTTTGTTCGTAGAATCTTTAAACTTATGTCCTGAAAAGTTGCCATTACAACAAGGGTATGATATATTGCTCACCACGGATCTCGTAAAAGAAGGTGGTTTAGCTAATTTTTGTTATGTAAAATAGACGAATATTTGGCCACAATCGTACCTGATGTTTAGCGAATTTATGCATTTGTCTAGCTGTATTATTACAGCTCGCTGAACGACTTTTAACTGGTGGACTAATCGTATCACGAATGTCCACGTCCCGCCCGCGTATGTCATAACGGATTGTTGAAAACCTTTGTTTTCAAAGTTTGTGGTATGGGTGACGAAAAGATCCAACGTAATTTTTCAAACGCTGCCCAATCCTGTCTCTCTAGCCTTAAGTAACCCTAAATAGCGGCACCCTTTGTGTAATAAGGCCATGCCTGCAAAATGGAAAAACAACTTATTAGAACAGAGGTTAAAAAACTCTACGATCGAAATTAGTCGATAACTTTCTAAGCTTAAATAGAAGGATCATAAAATTTCACATGTATAATTTGTTTCACATCGTATTATTTTATTACATGCATAATTTGTTTCACATCGCATTATTTTATTACATGCATAATTTATTTCACATCGCATTATTTTATTACATGCATAATTTGTTTCACATCGCATTATTTTATTACAAGCATAATTTGTTTCACATCGCATTATTTTATTACAAGCATAATTTGTTTCACATCGTATTATTCTTTTAAAATGTATTTAAAGCGTCTAAGAGTGATAGGTCAACTACAACTATATAATAGGGTTGCGGTTGTCTATTCTAGCATTTATACAAAAATAAGCGCAGTTAAATTATTTACTCATTCATTATTGTTGCATGTATTGCATGTACAATTTGTGCAAAATTGATCATAAAACTATCACAGTGACAGAACATGAACACCGTTGCGGCATTCCAATTTACGACATTTGAGAGAAACAATTCTTTATAGTAACAAAAAAATAAAACAAAACATAATTTAAAAATTACAATAAAAAAATGCGAACAATTTAACATTTCAAATCAATATAATTAAGAACTTTTATATAATATAATTATTGTCATACCTATGTATATAAAAATGAATGTTCGTTTGTATGTTTGTCCCGTATGTGCTCCATTATTGTTCGGGAGTAGTCGCAAAAGATTCTGGAATATTTAGAATCTTTTAAAATATCTAGTGGGCCAGCTGTTTCAACAACTGTGTCTACAGTTGAAAATGCGATTCTTTCTGTGGCATTGCAACTCATTCAACTAGTACTTGATAAAAATACATATTTAACGGAACACTCCTTAAAGTAATGCAGTGTTTTTTTTTCCAAAAGTCGGTTATCTTACTTTTTTATTTTAAGTCTTATTACTTATGTACTTAGACTGCCTCCGTGGCCGAACGGTTACCATGCCGGACTGCCACGCAGAGGTCCCAGGTTCGATTCCCGGGCCGAGAGAAATAGTTGTATGGCCTACAATTATTTCTCTCGTGAGTTTGGGTGTAATTTGTGGTTGTCTATGTGTGTGTCCATGGCACCCGCGACACAGGGTTTTCCCTAGTGCGGGGCTATGTTGAGTGTGTGCGTTATTTATTTATTTATGTGTACTTTTTTCTTAAAACTATACAATAAAATAAAAAAAATTAAATACAATAAATTAGTTGACTGTCATTTTTTTCCATTCATTTGTTTTAATTTCCTACTCAATACAGATTTGTTGTCTGGGTCCAGGTTGATTTTGTTTCTGGTGAATTTCACAAGCATTAGTTAGAAAAAAAAAGTTATTAGCAAAACTTTAAATTAATCAATTTTAAACTGTTATAATTTTTACATTTTCAACTGTTTCTGTTTTGTCCCAAAGAATAAGAAGTAATTTTAGTATCAGTAGAGCAACTTTTAATATAGTTCGTCCACGGAAGTTCTGCCACCTTGCCTATTTCTGCCGTCACGCCATTATGAACGGGTAAGGGTGGTGGGGAAATTACAGGTAATACGGATTTGGTGGCAGTGCCCCTCAGATCTTTGTGATTTAAAGCTGACACTGCAACGATATGCCCACGCGTGCGTTATTATCACCAGACGTATGATTTGTTAGTCCCGTCATTAGGTATCATAAAAAATTAATTAAAATTAATTTTGTTTAATTTCGATAAAGGTTGAAAGGAAAATATTTTTCGATAATGGTATAATAATGGTAAATCGATGTTAAAAGATGTTAATTACTTACTTACTTTATGTTAGCATAAGTCTAATTTTTATTTATTTAAATATAAACGTTACTATTTTATAATCTCATTTCGCTTTTGTTCCGCTTCTGTGCCGATGCATATTGGACGTTTCAATCGAAAAATGGTAATAAGAGTTTCTGAAATTAAGTTTAAATTTGAAAAAACGAGTGTCGTGAAGTGTTGTTTCAACGTGCGATATAAATATCAAAGCGACGAACGCGAAAGAATTTTAATTACAACCTCACATAAAAGTAAAAAAAAATTGTGTCATAAAACAGAAAACACAGAGATGAGGAGCAACTGAGTTTTTATTACGCAGCCCCAAAGAAAATTAAGGAAAAACGAGAGCATGAAAATATTTTCTTTTTTTATTACAAAAATTTACTATTTTAGCCAATGATTTTAGCCTTAGAATAATAACGCATAGAATGATAGTTTCATATCAAACGAACTGTCACAAGTGAGGCAAAAATCAAAATCATGTAGGCTAGTTTTAGTAGTAGGTTAATTTTCGGTTTTAGTGAATATTTATATAAAAATACAAGTTGAAATGCGTTACTTCCTTGTGGAATGTGATGTTAGTATCTATTTTATGTTTGTCTGACGTATTTTTACACTCATTTACACATTTCGTCATTTTTAGCTAAAATTCTTGAGCTGTTCGCGGTGCAAGTTGACCTTGAGCACTGACGGCCCGCCCGCTCGTGTAGGACCATTGGGAGCGCTTCAATTTGCCTCACTTAGCGTGTGCGGACTAAGTTTCTATGCGTTATTCTAAGGTTTTAGCTAAAATAAAAGTGCCTTAGTATTGTAAAACCTAAATAATCCGAAAGATCTAACCAACTATCAAAAGGTAACGATTTTGGTTTATTTTTTGTAGCTTACCACCAGGCGTATGACTTGTTCGTCCCGTCACTTGATGTCATTAAAAAATGTGAAAGTTAATGAAACTTAGCGAATATAAATTTATCGTATCTCGCAATTTCATTACTATCACATAACATGTTATATGACACAATTAACCCTAGATCTCACTATATTTAATGAAAGTGTCAAAAATTATAGGCACGACTAATACGTTATTGGAATTTAATCTTGTAAATTGTACTAAGGCTTTGGCAAGCTACCTTGACTCAAAGACTAATATGCGGCCTCTTTATTTTAGAATAAATTGTGATGTTAATTGTGGTACAATGACCGGGAGATAGTACATTATCAATATCTCCTTTAAGTAATAACAATATGAAATGCAAATGACGTGTTCACACTGCGGGATATTCAGCTCTTTGCAGGAGAAGCGGTCTCCGCTATGAGCAGAGACGTATGTACTATCAGCAAAGTTGAAGCCTTCTCAGTCTCACAGTCTTGTGTTTCTTTTTTTTACATATAATATGCCAGGCAACCACAACAAATTACCTGGTCTCAAACTAGGGACTTCCCTGTACTATGAGTACCAGAGCAACGGAAATCATTCCGGGGCATTATCCGGAACAACCATGTTTGCAAACAAGAATTGTAGCCCCATCCTTTGTCGTCCTTTTTTTGTGAAACCCTTTTTGTGTATAACATAAAAAAGCGTCTAGTCCTTAAACGACATTTATTTACATTCGACATTCTTTAGTCAACACCGCTACTAAAAGTTGTTGCCTGCATGCAAAAATAACCCTTAGGGCGCGTTTACCCGACACACAATTCATCGCGCTCACGCCGCGCGGTCGCCGCGCGGAGACCGTGTTGCCGCCGTGCAACGACCGCGTGCCTCTAACTGTCATGACAAAGTACGCTCTATTTATTTGGCTTTTGCGTTTTAACTTAAATGAGCATTCCGGGTGCGAAGGCGAGGTTGGCTTGTCTTGTTCTACGCGGCGACCTCGCGGTTTTATTATTCAGAAGAATTGCAATGTTGTCGCTTAGTAAATAGAATTCACATTTGCCATTAATGTACGTGAAAGCATGGTAACCGGGCGATCGCCGCGCGGCGGCTGCGCGAAAACTATCGCGTCGTGTAACTCGGCGCCTAGGGCGCGTTTATTCGACACAAATTTCAACCGAGCTGTCATGTCAAAAAAAGCTCTATTTATTTAGCTTTTACGTTTTAACTTAATTGGCTTGTATTTGGTCTACGAACTGGCGCGGTTGTATTATTCCGAGGAATTTAAATGTTATTGACTAGGAAATAGAATTCAGATTCACATTCATGTACGTGAAAATGGGCGGTTACCGTGCAGCACGAAAACTTTCGCGTCATGTAAGTGGGCGCTTAGGCCGCAAATTCGGAACGGCGCGCGGCGGTGCATACAGCTGAGCGTTCCAGGTTTGTGCGTTTGCGCGCAATGGAAGTGTAAACCTTGAACACTCCGCTGAACACACCACCACCGTTGCGAATTTATGACCTTTGGTAACTCGTCAACTTTGATGATAGTACGTACAAATGATGATGTACATGGTAATATTTACACATAAGTATCATTGTTTTTAAATACATGCGGTGTACTTGTGTTCAGGTACTGTCTCTGGGCGCAACGGCAGGCCACAAGGGAACCACGCAGCCCTCTCACCCCTGCACTATCCTCCACCATTCTCCTTATAAGGTAAGCAAATATGTTCCGAATTAAATTACATTGTAATTTATGCAATCTAAAAAAAGGAAGACGTACTATGTAAAACGTATTATCGTTTATAATAACAAAGGCTTTTACAAACAATACACGCTTGGTTCTGTGTTATTGTTGTTTCTGTAGTTCTCCATGCTATGTTATTCTATCTCGTATACATTGTTCTTTATAATACTAATGGATGTAATTTTAACGTAATAATACGAGTATATAGAAACATACAAAAATAACAGAAAATTAATTTCTGGATCGTACTGTTAATATTTTTTACCGCAAAATTGTAAGTTACTTCTGTACCTAATATAAGAGACGACATATGTTTTTTATGAAATCATTTGGCGCTACGTACGATATTAAAAAAATATTTCACACGAGAATGGACAATTTTGTGCGGTCATTACTTTTTAGAGAAACTAGCTACCCGCGACTTCGACTACGTAGATTGAGTACGTCGAGTAGCCTACTGTACTACATCCTTGAGAAATTATTAGTTCCCCATACAAACTTTCATCGCTTACTCCACACCTTTAAGATTTATTTTTATGACAAATAGTAGTATGTCCTTCTATTAGGTCCCATCTATCTCTACTTACCAGAATTTATATTTGGTTCAGCGGTTTAAGAGTGAAACGTAACAGAGTTACTTTCGCATTTATAATGTTATAGTTTTGACCAGGGTTGTTGCTGATGCAGGGTCTTACACATACGAGGATGCAATTTTTTTTCACTTTAACATCACCAGATGCTGATACGGATGTGATTTTATAGGTATTTAAAAAAACGCGAAAAATGTACATCCTTACTGAATCTATCTACATGAAAAGTTTTTTATTTTCTTTGGTATCGTAATAAAACATTATTTTACCGATTTTGTGACATTCATTAACAAAAGTATCAATCTTCATGAAAACAATCAATCTGCCTAGGTTAATCGTTGTGGAATTTTATCAAAATTATGTGTTAAAAACACCACTTAAGCTGCTATTTTCGGCTTAACTTCTGTTTCTAGAAGGTTTGCAAATTATTCCAGCGTGCCTTTTAGGCTATGTCACGACTTGAACATCCGCAATGAATATCAGCATCGTTGAATATGGATGCTGATGCTGATATTTTAATTTACGCAGGTTATCCGCGGATGTGAATGTTGATATTCGCAACAACCCTAGTTTGGACAATGGGCGTGTCTAAGTTTTAAAGGCTCGGAATCATAGCTTATTAGCTATTATTATTTTGACTAAAATAAATAAAACATAAAATAATTTACAGAGTAAACACTTACACACAAGACCTTAAACCGTCGACATCAAGGTATTTATTTTATAGCGGAATATTTTAAAATTTTTATTAGCTACAATGTACTAACTCTCATAAAAATTAAAGATTAATGAAAAAAATACCAGCATTGTTTGTCGCAATGGCCTCGACGCGTTCGACACGCAAATGGAGGAAAACTCACGCTATTATTTTGTTAATGATCCCGACGTGTGCTCGAACGTTGGAAAACTAAATTCTGCAGCTTTTCGTGATTAAAAAAGTCGTTTTTCCACCAAAATTTCCACCGTTAAACGTATTGCACTTCGCTGTATTTTGGTTTGCCAATCATTTTAGTTAAGAATTACTAATAAACCCATAAACTTGAGCGATATGATAAACACATAATAATTACAATAATGTCTAGCTAGCTAATAAAAGCAGTAGAGCTAATCTGAAAGAGTGCGTCCAGGGAAGTATAGCCACCTTACCTCTTTCTGCCGCCAAACAGTAATGTTAACGTTACATTTAAACTAGCTTTCAAAATAGTTGGATAGGCTGTGGATATACATACCTACACAGTTTCAATCTCTGACATTCGTTATTTCACAAAGTGCATAAAAGTTAAATATAGCCAAGAGTTATCGATGCGATCGTATCGACGGAGGCTAACAGTAGGTCATTGTACAAAGCAGCCCCAATTAACCACAGGGTTAGCTTAGACTAATAGGCTCCGATATAATGGAAACAAAGGCGTATATTGATTGGCAAAATCGAAATATCTTGAAAACATATTGCATGCCATTTGTAATAGAGTTCCTGATCTGGTCCTGTAACAGCAACTCAAAATCGGATAAAAATTGGTTGTATTTTACACACGATGTTATGTGGAATTTCGATGCACATGTATTCGATACATCAAGTATATAACCAGAAATAGAAACGAAATAAGAGCCATCCGTCCCTAGCAAATCATCGGGCAAATGGGCCTTATATCATTTTTAAATATCAACTCTCGTTTACACTGAAATCACAAATTAGAAAGCTGAAAGAGTACAGCGCCAACAACTGACTTGTATGTACGTCTCCGTATATTCCAAAAATATTCTGTATTTATTCTAATAAAGATAATATCTCTAACTATGGAAGGCTGTTCCATTCGGTGGTGTGGAAAAACAGCAAAACATCGAATTACAAGACAAACAAAATCACATTTCATCGGTAATTAAATAAAAAATATGTAATTTTTCAATTACGTCCATTATATCAAAGCCCAAGTTAAACTGGTTGATTTGAAGTGAAACAATTGACAACACCCGTCAATTGTTTCGAATTCGGGCTGGTCAATCGGAGCGCAGTTATCAATGTAATGATATGACAGAATAGTTTTCAAACAAATTAAATGACATTTCGTCTCTATTTCTGGCTATATACTCAATGATTCAATATTACGCCATTCACAGACACATAGAGTTCTGTCGAAGTTACAAACTGCCGAACTTGTGCCATATAGAATATTTCAACGTAGAAATTGTGTGACACTCGTTTGCACACAAAAGTATACGATGAAATCAATACTTCATAGTGCATTAGATTTGGCTTAAATCGATTTGACACTAAGTATAATTTGACTTCTCTAAGTAAAATACTTAAACCAGTGAACTTTTCCTTATCTTTGGATAAGCTGGTATCCAAGTAATACGTATAAGTTAATCTAAGTATCTACTCAAGTATCCACTTCTATCAGTATCCTGTGTAGATTAGCTATGTATATATTAAAAATGACATTTACTAAAGTAACCATACTGCACTCCTTGTTATAACTAACGTAACATAATCGAACTATTCCTCTTCTTATCGTTTCGATGACATACTATTGTTGCCCAGAACTCAGCCACGCCGACCGCGTCACTAATCGCCGCCATTAAATCCTCAAGCGTGCTGGAGCTGCAGGTACGAGGGCACGATATGAAATGAGCCATCGTTTGTATCGCACCGCACAAATTACAACCATCCGAAAATCCCCACCTGAACATATTATTATTGTCCTTGCTCCGACCAATCTGAATCCGAAGCCGATTTAAAAACTTCCAGACCGGCCATGGCAATTCGTGTCCTGGAGGAAGACTCTCAAAAGGTGGGACAAACGTAGATGGTACTCTTTCGCACCAAAGGTTGCACCTCACCTGCGCCGACTCAATGCTCAGAGGATCGACACATTTGACAAAACTTTTCCACCTTCTCAGTCTCTGTTGCACTGTGAAGTAATCGTGCATAAGGTCCTGAGTGTCGATGGCCATTTTTGCTCTTTCGCAAGATGCCGAATCGAACCTCAAACGAAACGAAAAACGAACTATTAGCGAACTAGAGTTATTAACATATCTGAGATCAGCGAAAGTAGACCTATAACCACCTCTAATCGATTATTTTTATCTTATTTAGTTTCAGTTTTATTTTCAATCAAAATCAACGTAATTAACATTTTTATTAGAAAAAAAATTTTGGTGCCAATATCCCGAAAATTATCGAAATCCAAATGCGTTAGTTATGACTAGGAGAACAGCATATTAATATATTGTTCTACAATACATCATTATTTTGAGGCGTGCTCTCAAAAAACGGATCGCGTCACTTGGTGCAATGCCATGCTTACCAGATTCAATGAAGGGGCGTCAAATTTGGTGTGGTATATAACAGGTGGGAGTAACAGGTGATGAAACATGGATTTATAGTTGCGATCCCAAAACAAAGCACCAATCGAGCGTATGGGTCTTTCGAGATGAGCCGAAACCAACCAAAGTGGCTCTAAACGGATATTTGCTTCTTTTTTTATATAACTGGACACGTGGCTACTGTTGCTTTGGAGAATCGTTGTACCGCGAATAGTGATTGGTACACGACCATTTGATTGCCGGAAGTTATTGACAAAATCCGTAATAATAATTGTAAACGCCGTATCATCTTGCACCGCGATAATGCCAGTTCTCACACGGCCAGACAGACAAATGAATTTTTGAAGGTGAACAACGTTGACCTTATGAGCTATCCCGCGTACAAACCCGACCTGACGCCTTGTAACTTTTATTTATTTCCAAAAATTAAGAACCATTTACGCGGTCTACGATTTTCATCACCTAAAGAGGCTGACGAAGAGTATGAAAAATATGCTGCAGAGATTGTCACAGAGGAGTGGCATAAATGTTTTCAAAATTGGTTCATTCGTAAGAAAAAGTACATTAACGCTAACGGAGAATATTTTGAGAAACAATAAATTTATTTCTGACCATTTATAGTATTTTTTTCTTATTCATTCTGGAAACTTATAGTGCGCCTCGCGTATACTCGACGTCTGTTAATGATGATACAGTGTTGTTAATTGTCTCCGTGTCCGAACGGTTATCATGCTGGATAGCCACGCTGAGGTCCCGGGTTTGATTCCCGGACCGGGAGAAATATTTGTATGGCCTACATTTATTTCTCTCGTGAGTTTGGATGCAATTTATGGTCGTCTATGTGTGTGTCCATGGCACCCGCGATATAAGGTTTCCCTAGTGCGGGGCTATGAGTGTGTGCGTTATTATTATATTATAATTAATTACCAGCAATTATAAGTAGTCGTTAAATACTTGACAAAAATTTTGTCTTTTCCAAATACTTAGACCAACTGTTGTTTTCAGGCCGCTTGGGATTGGTTGATTCTGATCCTAGTGATCTACACGGCGATATTCACTCCGTACGTAGCTGCCTTCCAGCTCAACGAGCCCGACTTTGACAAACGCTCGCGCAAATTCGGAGAAGATCCTATTGTCGTCATCGATATGATTGGTATGAATGCCACACTGAAGATAAAATGTATTACTTTAGATATAAATATATTTTTTGCTTCGTTACCATAATTTTACCGTTGACTGTAGGTAATCTGAAGTATCACAAATAAGACAGCAGCTTGGCACTTAATATTCTTGAAGACTATATTAATAACTGCCACCGTGATCGGACGGTTAGCATGCCATTCAAAGGTCCCGGGTTCGATTCCCGTGTCAGAAGAAATATTTGTATGGCCTACATTTATTTCTCTCGTGAGTTTGGGTGTAATTTGCATGTTGTCCATGGCACCTGCGATACAGGATTTCCCTAGTGCGGGGCTATGAGTGTGTGCGCGTTATGTTGTGTTATATTATATTCGCTGATTTGGTGCAACATTGCCGTAATTGTAATTTTAGCAAAATTTAATTAAGTATGTTAACACATCTGTAACATAACAAGTGTTTACGTTTGAAGAAAAATAGGCAGTGTTTTTAAATTTATGTATGTCGTAAAAATACACAACGTTTTTTTACACGTCATTAATTTTATATAAAATTAAATAATCTCAGCACATACTACTAAAAAAACCAACCTCGAAAGTTCGTGGAATTTCGTCAAGTTTTATAAAATCGGTTACCCGAAAGTGCGCGAAAACGTATTCATCCCCTGGTTTGCCACCCTTAGAGGTGAAATGTTTTCTTTAAATGTAAATGAGACCACTACTAAGATACCCTCTTTCCAACAAAAAAGATGATTCCAAATCGGTTCACAGATGCACATCGGTTCACAATGCAGTATCGCGTAATATACGTAAATAAAATTTACCGATAAATTGAGAACCTCCTCCTTTTTTAAAAATCGGTTAAAAATCGATTCAAATCCATTTCCTGTTGCATTACAAGAAGTACAATTGCGTCAGTGTAGCACCAAAGGAGCGATATGCAAATGCCTCGTCTTAGATATAGTCGTCGAGCTAACGACATTTATTTTATTTCCAGTTGACGTGACGTTTATAGTAGACATCCTTATAAACTTCCGCACGACGTACGTGAACGTCGCGGATGAGGTAGAATCGGACCCGGGCAAGATCGCCATGCACTACCTGCGGGGCTGGTTCCTCATCGACCTCGTAGCTGCTATCCCCTTCGATCTCCTGCTCTTCGGCACCGATACCGACGAAGTGAGCCTCTCCTCTCCCCCAAAAAAACCCCACAACTTTTGATTTCATTACACATCACACATAACTTAGAATGCCTGTTGGACAATAGACATCAGACTATCATTTGTCCGAAAAAATCGCTGCACAAATCAATAGTAGGTACGTATACGCGGTACAAAATTTTTAATAACACGTACCGTACACGTTACAGTTCAAAAATGTAATGAGTACAGCATTAAGATTATGATAAAATATGATATTATCTTTCAAGCGCGATAGAAGGATTCAATAAATATGTAGGTCGTAGACACAGCAGCGAACTAGGTCAAGTTAGGGTTATACTGTGCGACAGTCTTTTATTCGTGGGAACAGACAAGTAGGCGCCGAAATAGACAACTCAGCACTTTCGGACAACTGAAGATCTGGATGGATATTTTCCATTTCTTCACTCCAGTAGTGGAATGCAGTTACTGCAACTATCACCTTTGAATAGGTCAACCACTATTCAACTATTGATTTTACGCCACTTTTAATTGCAAATCCAAAAGGCTACGAGTATTTGCGAAAGTAATCTATATGTACAGGTTAATTACTTCATTTCACTCGCTCTCTTTTGTTTCTTTGTGATTAATTTGTACCTTCCTTTTTTGTTCATGTAAATCACGATTGTGAATTTGGAATAAGTATCACCAGTTCTTTTAATTCAAGTATACTCAGTCCGGTTTTATTAGTTTATTTGATAATCGTGGAATAAAAGAACCCGAAGGTGGGTGCGTATTGAATTTGTATTACCATTTCTTGTTACAGCAGGGGCTGGAAAGTGATGAGGTATACCATCTTTGAGATCTATTTTTATGTTGCTGCCACTCGATTTTCTTATAATTTTAGTTGACATACTTTTATTCATTAATTTTCACTAGTCATTTTTAATACACTAATCGAATGCGTTAATGGAAGATAAGGACGCTTCCCATGAGCAAACTGTATCGTTTTCAATTTGTACCACCGCGAACATCAAATTAAGCTCACTCGCTGTGCCACGAGCTTAGCCGACGATAGCCGACAAGATATTATTATCTGTTTGGTTTTATTTACTATAAACATTATACCTACTACTGAACTTAAACAATCCAGTACGCACACCAACAACCCGAGAAACCAATCATAATACAAAACGAACGCGGTAATCAGTAAAACATACGTAGAGAATTGGATTATTTTCTGCATGCATACTTTTATACAGTACGAAAGATTAAAACATTAGAAGTTTCATAAAAGCTGAAACGCTGGACGTAGTAGAAGATTAGCACCAATCAGCCACAGAATGTGGAACGATCGTACCAGACAAGATGACCTTGTGAGGACCCATAATTTTCTCATTTTATATAACAACTTTTAGCGTTCACGTTGCGGTCTAATACACTATATAAATTATAACGATGAGTACACACTTTTAATCAAAACGTCGAGGCAGTGACGAAATGGTAAACGTGCTAGTCGTGTAGACGATATATTGCTCGTAATTTGCAACGAACGCATTGTGATGGAACATTGTTTCATGAGCTTTTCATTGTTAAAAGTGCATACCATGGAGCACTGAGCTTGGTAGCAAATACGCTCACACTTCCCAGACGAACCATGTTTTGTACAAATAAATGAACCGCAATTTTTCATTACACAAGGAAGCACCAAGTTATATCGATCTCAAACATGTTACATGATTATAGCACCCACCTTACATCGAGCAATGAAACAGATAATAACTTTATACGCCATCTTACCTTATTTAGTTTAATCATCACGATACCTTATGTTCAATGCCATATTGAATTCATTTACTTATATCAATGTTTATTTCTATTTGCTTTGACACTGTACCGTCTTTTTATATTTTCTTGTTATTTTCTGATTAAATAAATTGTTTTCAAACTGTTTATTTACTTTTTTATTTTCCTCACTCTCCCCTATTCATCTACGTTTACAACAATTATTATAATGATGTACATCAACGATTAAACAGGCACCCATCTCATTTTTAACAGCCGAAGACAAAGTTCCAATTCGATACGTTTTCAGTGAAAACAAAGCAAGCATTCAGTGCTTCACGAACGACGCTTAGTTTGTGCATGTGGCACAAAAATACGCACACAAGTGGATGTCTTGTGCTGAATACATTAGTTTTGCTTTTGAATTGTTCATTTTTAATGTAAATGCGGTAAATAGAAGATGTAGTGTTTTCGGATGGAAGCACAACTTTAGCTTTTATTAATAAGTACCTTACTTCTTCTCTAAACCATATATTTTTTTTACCTGCAACGTCGACAAGTCTACTACTAACGTCTTCTGAATATAAAACAGCCAGCTTCAGTATTATGTACAATGTTGATTATTTATAGGAATACAAGCAAAAATAAATAGGTTCCATCAGTAAGTATCATGTAAGCAATAAGGTGTTAACGGTTAAGTATGATCATATTATTAAGTACATTGGGGTGATTTTGGCTTGCATATGTGCACCGTGGTCTTTACAAAATTATTTTACAAGTTAAACATCAAAATTTGAAAAATGTTTTTAAAATAAGCAATTTGGCTAAAACAAGTAAAGGTCAAAATTGTTCTTAGACAACCATTTGCCAAACATTCTAACTTCGTCAATTTAAAACAATTGAAATTACAGTTTTCAAGCAACATGCACTGCATTCTGTATGAAGCCAGCTAATTTTATAGTTTTCCAACTAATCGCTTGTAATTCTGCAAACAAACTATTTATAATTTTGATTGAGATCGAAAGACGCTCGCTAGCATATTTTTAGGCAAGTTTCTGCTTGGTTAGCGTGGTTATCGCTGCGAGGCCTCGTTGATGCTATTTAGGGTTAAGCCAGAATGGGCTCCACTTCAGCGACCGGCCCTCTACACGAAATACAAAATCCCTTTGTACCGGTACACTTAACCAAATCTAAAAGACGTAATAAAGTGAGTAGAGGAAGAGGACCACTCGCCGAAGGAATGCTTAGTGCGGAGGGACGCTTAGTATTACGCGAAAGTTTGATACAAGCTTGAGTTAGCGCCTGGTAGTAGAGCGCTGATGGTCCTGAGCTGGCTTGTGGTTGCAGACGACCACACTCATCGGGCTGCTGAAGACGGCCCGTCTGTTGCGGTTGGTGCGGGTTGCCAGAAAGATCGACCGTTACTCGGAGTATGGCACTGCTGTCCTTCTTCTCTTAATGGCTACATTTGTTCTCATCGCTCATTGGCTGGCTTGCTTATGGTAAGTATTGCCTTTTTTACTTATACAAGGTTTTCCGAAAGTGTGAAATTGTTTTAAGAAAATATACGCTGGTATTGTGTTGTGAATTTCATTAATTATAACATTGGTTTTCGTTTTTGTGCGTGTTTATCTATTTGTTTATCCACAAAAGCGGGGACAAGCTGAAAATCAATGCCGTGTATGCGCATATGCTCTACACAGTGCTGAACATGCTCCAGTGGCATGTGGCAGGCCACACAACGACTGCAAATGTTTAAATTGTTGAATCGATTAATTTCATTTATTTTTTGTGTAGTAAATAAGATTTAAAGGATTTAAATAAATTCAGAATATTTAAGATCATCTCGCTTAAGTCGTCGTCGTAAAAAATGTCGCATTGCGGTCATCAAGCTATATTTGTTTGGCTATTCACCGAATGTAATGTCTTAGCATAAAAAGACAAATATGGTAACTCCATACAAACGTAGCAGCACGGCTTGTGTACGTGCGCGCTCGCCGCGTGTCTTGTATGGACGCACACATTCGCAATATCCCGCGACGCGCTCGCGTTGCATAGCGCTGGTCGTCACACGCGCCTTTCATTAATATGCGAACGTGTGCGTCCATACACGGCGTGAGACGGTCGTGCACACATACAAGCCGCGCTGCTACACTTGTACAGAGTTACCATACTTGTCTTATTATAATGTTTTACAACACTCTTTTGTACGAGATGTAAACTAACGTAACCTATGTGGTGCAGGTACGCAATCGGCAGCTGGGAGCGTCCGCAACTGCACGCGCCCATTGGCTGGTTGGACGCGCTCGCCAATGACGTGCAAGCTTCTTACGACAACTCCACTGGCCCTTCAATGAGGCAAGTTAATTCGATATGAAATACATAAAAGAATAATAAATATGCGATTAAGAATGCGTACTCATTACATATAGTATAAAAACACTCGACACTAAATAACACAACACATTTAAAATCAATAAACAATGAACTTGCATGTATACATATACACAATAATGAACTTAAGTAGCTAATTAGTGCGTACTTCTTACGCACGTTAAAGACAAAAATACGCGTCTTACTACTTGTACATCATTCAGTGAATCTTATATTCCAGATCTCGATACATAACAGCATTGTATTTCACCTGCACATCGTTGACCAGCGTAGGTTTCGGAAATGTGGCGCCCAACACCGACATGGAGAAAGGTTTCACGATATTCGTCATGCTTGTAGGATGTAAGTACTTTCTTCCCAGACTAAGTATTAAGAAAATATAAAATGAGTAGTTTCCCGACTCCGAGAACGCGTAGTCTTGTTACAAGTTTCTCAGCCGTTGTCGTGAGCGCGAGCGTCCAATTGTCATAACTGACTCATAAAATCCTTTTTCAAAATTTTCATTTTTATATAGCGTTATAATGTGGTTTTCTTCTTCATTTAGTGGCCAGTGTCTTTGTTACTTTTCGAAATAAGATTTTACTTTTGTAAGGACAATTGTAATGTTATTGGATCTCTTTTTACTCCATTCAATTAACAAAATGAAATAGAGGATTACACTAATTCATACAATGCAAATTGCTATAATATTAATTGTGATTTTATAGCTCTGATGTACGCCAGTATATTCGGTAACGTGTCGGCAATCATCCAAAGGCTCTACTCAGGGACAGCTCGCTACCACACGCAGATTCTCCGAGTGCGGGAGTTCATTCGATTCCATCAGGTAACTTTACAATTAAAACGATAATTAACGTTTTAAAATTAGAATATACATATTTCTTTGACATTAGATAGGAACTACAGTACAGTCCTACATAAAAATGGACGTTGTTCGATCTTGTTTTACTAGTAAAAGTTAGCGACCATAGTAAACGCAGCAATTTAATAATATATGTAGCTTTCAACGACACTCCCCGGAGTCTTTTAGTAATAATAATAATAATAATTTATTTATTGTTCTTTCCACCTTAACAATACAAATTACAGGGTATTTATCGTAAAGAACATCATAGTAGCAATAGAGCTCGTTGTGGAAGTATTAATCCAGGGAATAACTGCCACCTTATTGGTGCAACTGGTGATGAATTTTGTGTCTTACGGGAAGATATCTACTTTATCACGTAGCCAGAAACAACTTCGCAATTTGTGGAGTGGTTTAACAGAATCATCGAATGTTCAATTTCTAAAAAAATCATGATGATGAGCACTCTGTATTGTAATGTATACTTGTATAATTCCAGTTTGTATTTCTTGAAATTCCCCTTAGCTGTAAGCATTGTACTGTGTTGTCTTGGTGAATAAATAATTGAATTTTAAACATTGACTTACAAATAAATGGACGACGGGTCTAATACAAAAACCACGAAAAAAATGTCCCAAGTCAACCTATTCGAAATTTAAATTGTTATGTCATCGCAGTATCGCGCTGTCCGTAGAACAAATGAAGACTAAAGCGGAGTGTCGCGCTCTGTATACGATTTTAGCGCCTTACAAGTGCGGACACTTTTTAGCGCGGACCCGACGTCCATATAATTGTAAGTCAATGATTTTAAATGAAACTATTTGTTTCGAATGTAAATTGTGTATATTTTGTTTTTTTTTTCGAACTAACCAACGTTTCATAGGTTTTACAGTTCCCATGATTACTGCTAACTGTGTGTGACGTGAACCTGTAAATGGTGGACCTGTACAGATCCCGAAACGTTGGCTTGTTTGAATAATCTAAGTATAGAGTACTAAAAAAACAGACTTCAAAAATTCATGGAATTACATAGATTTGCCAAGTTTTATTGAAATCGGTTACCGAAAAATGTGCGAAACCGGATTCATCCCCTAATTTGCCACCCTTAGAGGTGGAATATTTTCTTCAAATTTAAGTGGGACCACTACTGAGGTACCCTTCCTTTCCAACAAAAAAGAATCATCAAAATCGGTTAGCAAATGCTGAGTTATAGCGTAACATACATACAAAAAAATACTGTTAATATAATAATACTTTTTTGGAGTCGATTAAAAATAAAATAAAAAGATAAAACAAAATAAAATAAATAAAAATTAGAAAAAATTAATTAATTAGAGAAAATTAGAAAGTAATATTTTCATTTCTATGTGTAATAATCGCCAAAACCTAAGAACAGAATAATTATATTTGAATTGGTAACTTTCTCACCTCCATTCCAGATCGCAAACCCTCTCCGCCAGCGATTGGAGGAGTACTTTCAGCACGCGTGGAGTTACACGAACGGCATTGACACGTCCAGCTTGCTGAAAGGGTTCCCTGAATGCTTGCAGGCAGATATTTGCCTGCATCTTAATAGAAATCTGCTGGCAAGCTGTTCTGCTTTCGACGGCGCTAGTCCTGGCTGCTTGAGGTAGGATAGGCAATTCGTTAATAATAATAAAAAAACCTTTTTTTCCCTTTTTTTTTTCATTTATACTTACGGAATCCGTCCATAATTTATATCGTGCTTTTACACCAGTGCCGTACAATTTTTATAACATCGATGACAATTTTAATATAATAAAATATAAATAAATATTTTAATATAATAATTTTATGGAAAACAATAATAATCATAGTATGTCATGCTGACAACGACACCAAATTCCTGTGCCCCTGCTAATTTCACATCAGGTCAGTTATGTGTCGATAGTGTCAATGGCAGAATTTGACCTATTTCTGCCGCCAAGCAGTAATATGAGCATTATTACGCTACGGTTTTGAAGGGTAGGACTTGTCAAATTATGTCTCCGGTCTTTGCAGTTTAAAGCTCTGAGTGGCACTGCAACTGTTATGAACAGGCGTGTCGCTTACGACCGGACCCACGACTTGTTCATCCCATCATTTGGTATTATAAAATTCCCTAGTTTGAGACCAGGTAATTGGTGTAGTTGTCTGGCACACAGCGTCCATTTAGCTCGATTCCCACCGGCTCGCCTAAGTCATCAATTTGGGTAATACTTTCATTCAGAAACCTACGCGTTTAATTCAATATACTCGGATTTACACATTATACATTAGCAAAAGTCAATCTTTAGTAAAAATGGTTGCCGGTAATCCGACGAACTTCGAGTCGTGGTCGAACAGCATTCACTTAAATGCTTATTATTACGAGTTTTGTTAGGGCGCATTTATTCGGCACGAATTTCATCGCGCTCACCAAACTATCATGGCAAAATACGCTCTATTTATTTAGCTTTTACGTTTTAACTTAAATGAGCGTCCCGAGCGCGTCTTTGGACTACGCGGCGGCCGCGCGGCGACCATGCGGTTGTATTATTCAGAGAAATTTAAATGTTGTTGCCTAGGAAATAGAATTCAGATTCGCCATTCATATACGTGAAAGCGTGGTAACTGGACGGTCGCCGCGAGGCGGCAGCGTAAAAACTTTCGTATCGTGTAACTGGGCGCTTAAGGTAGGTGTTTATTTTTCCTCCGGCTTTACAAATGAAAATATTCACTATTATATTCATTATACATAAATATTCATTATTATTATAACACGCTACGCCATCGAAGCTTTCGTAGGATCTTAATTATCACCTATAGGCTAGCCTTGGGAGTAGATATAAGTTTTTAATGATCTTCCAGAGCGCTGTCCCTTCGTTTCAAGACGACACACGCACCACCTGGCGAGACTCTCGTCCACAGAAGTGACGTGCTCACTTCCCTCTACTTCATCTCAAGAGGATCCATCGAAGTATTAAAGGATGATATCGTTATGGCCATATTGGGTAAAATAAAACTACGTGATATATATTCCATATAATGTATATATACAATAATAGACATGTTTCAAGGAAAAAGGTTGAATAAAGATAGCAATGTTCTTAGGAACCACTGGCCCTGTATGGTTTACACCAGAACGATACATTTGAAAAAAGAATCACTTCAATCATTGGTTCTGGTATATCGTCGCCTTACTTTCTCAAACTCATATCTTATAATACAAAGTAACTGAAATGCAAAAAATGGATTGTAAGTATATATAAATGTTGCAAGCTGATTTTACATCTCAATTCCTTCATATTTACACACTGGCTTTAACCTATTGTTAAAGTAATGCATCCAAATTAGCACCCTTGATAAGAAATTTAAAACAAGTAGAAATTTTGCTATCTCCGGAATAATCAAACTTTTTTAAGATACGAGTTTAGAAAGTAAGGCATCGAATGTGGACATAATTCAATTTTTTTTTTACATATCTCTAAATATGTCCATGAGAATTTAAAATAAAACAAATCAACTTTATCTCCGTATTTAGGAACTGAGATCGATTAGTTAGGATATCAAACCTACTTACAAAACGCACCTACGTTTCTTTGATGCAGCTATTTTGTTTTCATCTTTCCGATTTGTGTAGGTAACACTAAAACTTATCTATATTGATGTGTAGAGTGACATATTAAAATACCGTAAAAATAAAATGTTGCTCGTATAAGCACCTACGAATTCTCAGAAGAAAGCCCCATGACAATTACAGTCAGACGGGGTGGTTTCATGATAAAGGAAAAAAATAAATGAAAGGTTTTGACCTTTCACTTATTCTGTTCACCGTTCACCTAAAATATGAATAATCAAACGACATTAAGAGAGAGAGATCTCTTTACATCGTAATTTATATAAATTGAGTAATCAACTTCATGACAAATAGTACTAACATCAAAGATTCTTCGATTGCAGCGAGCGATCTTCTTGCAGATAATACCTTGGTTGTAGCGCCATCTATATTATAACTAACCTTTAACCTCTAAGATAACCTAAAATCCCCGCTACGGTACAGCGTGGTCGCAGGTTTGAATCCTGTCAAGTCGATGGAATTCTTCTTTGTGTTCAATTGCATTAATATTATAACTAATACCCCTTCTTAGAGAGAAGACCTGAGCCCCACTGTGTGAGGGGTCTTATTTCGTTATAACAAATTTTTAAAAACAATATTACTTTTGTGAGCAGGCAAAGACGACATATTCGGCGAGAACCCGTGCATTTATCCGACTGTAGGCCGTAGCAACTGCCGCATACGTGCAATCACATATTGTGACCTACATCGAATACATCGTGATGACCTGCTGGATGTGCTCGACTTCTATCCAGAGTTCCGCAGCTCCTTCGTCAATAACCTTGAGATCACATACAATATGAGAGACGTAAGTTCATTTTGAAGCCTATAATATATAAAAATATAATTAGAAAGTTGTTGTATGATGAGACTTTGATACTTTTTGTAAAAATACCCATTCAAATTTATGTACTTAAATCCAGGCATGTTAAAAATGCTATACATATTTAAAGGAATAACTAATAATTATGACACTTGAAGGAAATGCAACTATTCAAGAGTAGATAGGAAGTGAAACTATTTTTAGGATCTAAATCCGCGTATTTTTTATTTTCTAAAACAAACCAACCATGACCATGGGACCTGTAAAGATCCGAAACGTAAGATTGTTTGAAAAAACAAATATAAGCGATTTAAATCCGAAAAAATAGTTTCCTATGTTTAACAATCATTAAACATAACTCGAACTCTAAGAACTAAGAACTCGATATTCATAAGATTTCCTTCTATTCGTCTCTTCTAACTTCAGCAGTCAAAAATGTCTTGCTGTAGGTACACGAACGAAAATGTTGCATACGGCACGATTGATACAGACATATACATATGCAATTGTAGGAGGAGCTGGCCGGTATCGAGCCCAAGCGTCGCATGCGCTATGAAAACCCAGGCGATGCCAGACTTCTACGCGAGGCATACGCGAGAACCACGCGGAAACCGCACACTGAAACGTTTGCAGAAAAGGTGGTAAGATTTGCGTGCCAGTAACGACGTCCGTCTGTTTTTAAATTAAAATTGACTACCACTTTACAGAAACTAACTCAATATTCCTTTTATAATAAGGTCTTTAGAGTTATGATCATAATGAGTGCAATATAAATATAACTCTAAACCTCTTATCCCTTTGTACAAATATATATTTATCAACATGAAGTCGTATAAGTACGTTAACCCCTTTATGAACACTAACAGCGTTTAGCGTAAAATTAAATATCAGAATATCATTCTACGGATACACCACACAACGGTCGAAAGTTATTTACCTACTACTACGAAATACAGCAATGTGCTATCTGCACACGCGCAAACGTGTGCGTGATGTGACAGGGTTACTTATCACTTTCTCGTACAATTTACGTTACGTGGCGGCAACAAAGCGAAAATTCTTAAGCGAATCTGTTATCTTTAATTCTATTAAAAGAATCCTAAGAATTACACATGTTCATTAGGTATTTATATCGATATAATATTATATTTTTTATTAATTCACTAACCAGAATAATATTGAACATTTATTTAAAAATATATTAACAGCACTTAAAAGATAGTATTTTGAACAGGTTTTATATAAGGTAACCAAGGTATTTGAAATTGCGTGTCCAAGTTTATCATTACCTAGTTAATAACTAGGTATATTCACTATGTAATATTTATCGGCAATACAAATTGAAAATTAGAGAACCTTTGTCTACTATCTCACGACGTTATGGCGTCTCGTTGTATTGATATAATAAATCTGTATTATACACACATCAAAAAAAGTTTGCGATCAATAGCATAAGCTCCTATAATTCTTTAAATTTAACTTTATCAAGAAAAAATCTATGTTGTATGCTTTCTTTAAATAGGAATACCCTGTTTGAAATTAAAATATAAAACTATTTTTTATTATTTATTTTAAAAAATTGAGCCATTAATCATAATGTAATAGTGATAGAAATTTCATAGAAAGAAAAAGACTGTTTAATTAAACTTAAACAACAATTTATTATTAAAAGGTGTGAATTCAATATAAAATAACTCCTCCCCTGGCTCGAATACATGCGAAGATCCTCCTGGGCATGCTGAGGATCAAGTTATCCAGCATTTCCTGGGGTAACCTATCCCATTCTTCAATAGCGGCTTCCCTGAGCTCTGGAACTGTCTGGGGACGTGGCTCACGGTTCCATACTGCTCGTTTAAGAGCATCCCACGCGTGCTCTATTGGGTTTAAGTCGGGCGAGCCGGCAGGCCAGTCTAATCGTGTGATATCGTATTCTTGAAGAGCAGCATTGACTCGTTGAGCTCGATGTGCGGGCGCATTATCATCGACCAGTACAAATTGGTGCCCATGGTTTACTCGGAATGGTCTGACGATATCATCAATAGCAACTGCTTTGTACATGTCTGCTGTCATGAAGCCCCGATACTATTCTAGCTCCAATCATAATGCCACCCCAAAAGGACACCGATTTTCCGCCTTGCTGAACTGTTCCAGTGGCAGTTCTTTGTCTTTCACGGTCGCCTGGTCTTCTCCAGACACGGACACGTCGGTTATCTGGACGAGTGCTGATTCGGGATTCGTCAACGAAGAGACAGTTTTGCCAAATGTTTTCGTCCTCACCTTCTTCATTTTGCCGAAGTCTAGCCCATTGCAATCTTCGTCGTTGACGTTGCCGGGAATTGAGCGGAGCTCGCCAAGACCTCCGTGCTCGTAATCTAGCCTGGTGCAAGCAATTGCGAACGGTCTGCGTGCTAACTTCAAGCCCAGAGGCGGCCCTGACTTCTGCTTTTATTTTAGTGGCGTTGATTGTTGGATCACGGGCTGCCAGCAATCTAATATAGCGCTTTTGGGCAGCTGTCAAAACAGTTGGGCGACCGCTGCGGGGTCGGTCAGCTAAATTCCCCATTCCGTGATACCTCTGCAACGTAGCCACGACACAGGATTGGGATATAGCAAGTCTGCGTGCTATTACTCTCGTGGTGTATCCTTCTTCCCTCAAAGTTACTATTCTAGCTCGTAAAACCTCTGATAATCCTCTTGGCATTTTTTCAATCACAACTTTCCACGAAAAATATCTTGAATCGCTTATAATTGACTAAATCAGATTTCTGAATGAGCGTAAGCTAGGACTGAAAGCCTTTTTATATGAAAAAACAATTGAACGGGGTCATTGTTTTACATATGTTCTAATTTATTTTTAAATAAAGAATCTAAAAAGAAGAAAAAATCATAATATAATCTACAGTAACAAAAAAGATTTCAGTTTTTCGAAGTGATCGCAAACTTTTTTTGATGTGTGTATATTAACTCTGCACTAAGTTAACGAAGAAAACCGTGACTGAATGAGTCTCAGACATAAGATTTTGTCATTTTCGTTTCACCTTTCGGAAAACGAAAGAAACTCCTCTCTTTATCACGTTTATTTGATCATAAACAGCCGAACACAGCACAATTCGCGACCATTATAAATAGTAACGTATTAAAATGTTATATATTAACGTAAAAGTTTCGTGATGAATAAATGAATTCAAATTCAAATTCGAATATCAAAGCCGAAAACGGCTCGCCGATAGCCTTGTTGTCGTTCAGTCAATGTGACCGTCAATGTACGGGGCGTGGTGCGGTATCTAAAGGGGCGGAGAGTGTCCATTCTCTTACTTTTTTATTCTCTGGTACGGGGTATCCTGTTTCACTATATAATGTCGCAAAAAACCAACTACGGACTTTTAATGCGATTTCTAATTACCTTAATAGAGAAGTGTCATAAAACATTGAACATTTTATAGTGAATCAATATATATATATATATATATATATATATATATTGTATATATATATATATATATATATATATAATTTAAGTACAGTCCGTGAACAGGTTAAAATATGCCATAAAAAACGTAAATACAAATCTTTTTTAATGAATCCAATAATACCACTTTTTTACACAGAATTCCAATAATAAATTTTCTAACACGAATAAATAATTTCTAGGACTCGCAATGCAGCGACGAAGAAACAGAGTCACCAGCAAGTCGGGGTATCTTGGAATTTTCAACCGACAAAGCTGGACAGGACGTGACTCCGCTCAACTTCAACTTTAGTAAGCAACGGTCCACCACGCTCAATTCCATCACTGGTGAGAGCTCTTCGTACAATGGGAAATAACTGCATTCCTATTCATTAGTCATTAACAACTCTAGTCGCCAAATCTGTGTAAATGAAGGGGAATTTTGTGAGTGTAATCGTGACCAAACCAACAATTCACCATATAAACTATCAAAACATGGTTCTTTTTGAGCACCGTGTTGTGAGTCTATTATTAGTAGTGTACTATTATTGTAAATGAACCTAAAACTGTCTAAAAATAAATTATACCCTTCATTTACATTTCGCACCTTTAGATGAAGGTGACCCAACACAAATTAAATTTTTTGGGAATACGCAAAATAAGATTTGAATTTGTGACATTTTCACATTATTTAATTTATTACCCTTGAAGTACTAAAGGCGTTGTTAGTCCTGGAAAATAATTATGAAACATTCAGCTTTATAGCATCAAAAATTGTTTCTGATTATTTTAATATTAACAATTTAAAAATATAATTTACAAAAACTAATTTGCTATAAGGTCATTTTTACTGAAATTTTTTGATGTCATTTTACCGAGTAAGAATTAAGTTTCTTTCATTTTCACCAGCTACGCAAAATAATATGACCTTGTCAAGATAGAGCCGTTTTTATTATAAAAGAAAGTCCTCTAAATAATAAACTAAGTTGCGTTTATAAAAACTTAATGATGATTTTCGAAACGAAAACGGCTCAGTTACTAATCCGTCACTTTTTCGCTAATGCTGGTGGTGCAAAACAATCTCAAGATTTCAAAAGGGCACCCCTGAAAGCCCGAACCGTCAGAAGGTGACTGTCTGACCTGGACTGGGAGGAAGTTCCACATACCAGCTGCAAGCGAGTCTGGGTTGTTCGAGCTTTGATTATTCAATTCCAGTAAGGCTAGCACGACAGCGCGAACGACATAAAGCGCGAGATACCGGTATTCTCGCATAGAAATATATCGCGCTTTACGTCACTCTCATCGTCCCCTGTCGTGCTAGCCCTACAGATTTGAAGATATGAACAATTATTTTGAAAGTCGTTTTAGGGAACACATTATTTACTTGTTTTTAATTAGGTCACTTTCATTGTAAAGGTGCAATTTGTGAGAATTCGGCAAAATTGTGCGTGTTATATTTTGTTTTGTACGAATAGAGTAGTATGAATGAAAATATTTGCAAATCCCTTTTCCGTTCTTTTTCATTTCATGGTCAGTACATATGTATATATGCATTGAAAGAACTTAACGTCTCAGTCATGTTTAATACAAAATTTAGCAAAAAGTTGAGACATCAACAGAAATTTTGAACCAGACCCTATTTTAAACAAACCCTAATAAACTGAACTTTTAAACTACTAACAGGAACTTTAAACAATATAACACATAACATTGGCTATAGATATGTGCTTTTTGTTAAATTTTATTGAAATCCCTCTCATAATTTGTTACTATGTATTAATCTCCATAAAAGTAATAAATTTACGAAGGAATTTGTATCAAGTTCGTAGGTTTTCGAAATTGCTACACATAGGATATAAAACTATTTTTTCGGATCTAAACCGTGTCCATTTGACCCCGCCGATTGAGGCAGCCGTGACCATAGGTCCTGTAAAGAACCTGAAATGTTCGTTTCCTTGATTAAATAACAAACATAATATTCGATTTAGATTCGAAAAAAATAGTTTCTTTTTCAAGAGAGTCTCTATTTAATTTTGTTATAAAATCCAAAATTGTATAGGTAAAAGAATTATAAATAAGCTTAGTAAACCAAAGTTTTGTTATCTATAAAGGCAGCATGTGTATGCTTATCTTTCCACTTTATTTATTTGGACTATCTTTTGATGCCGACGAGGGCGAGGGAGCGGTGTTTCACACTCAGTTTCTATCGGAGAGCGTTGTCTACATTACATTTATAAACAATTTAAATGAGTTGTAGGGTTAACCTGTCGACTTAACCTGTTAACGTATCCAAGAGGGTGTTTTACAATGCCCCTAATAAGTGTTCAGTGTAAGGCAAACTTGCAAACGCCCTGCGATAGCGTCCGCCTCTCCCCGGTCCTCCTCCCCGCCCCGCTCTGAGCGCGGCCCTTGTGTGCAGGCATGCTAGCGCAACTTAAACGGAGCTTCCCAGACCTCTACCACCATAAAACACACCAGCCGCTGCACAACAAGTACTGTAAGTATATTTTGTAATACATAACATTTTAGTGCATGCCCCTTACAAATTTCTTGGTTATCGCATTCGATACCTAAACCTTCAACATTACAAATACAGAATAACACGATTTACATAATTTATTAATGAGGTTATGCAGCATGTTCTTAAAATAACGTGCATTAGACAGTAGACAGCAACACCAGACATCCGTTTGTGTGTTCCAGCGCAATCAACGCCGCAGACGTATCGAAGCCGAGCAGCAGTGCGGCGACAGTCGTCTGTGGGCCCTCTGCACGATACGTCGCCGCTGACGGGCGCGGGCGGCGAGGCGGCCGTGAGCACACCCGCACATAGCACCACGCTGCCCGTCTCCAGCCTCAGCACCAACCCCAGCTCATACTATACCAACGCGTCGCCCAGCCCTCCGGCCGCGCACTCTGTGCATCCGCCCGTTCCGACGCACCTCTCCTGTGACGATATCCTGGCGCCCTCAGCGTCCGCGCAAACGCATCGCGCGCCTTCGTCGCGCTCCGCGCCGCACTCCGCACTGAACCTACATCACGCCGCCGGCGCCCCCGTCCCTCCGCCCGGCACTACGCCAGGGCGACCCACCGCGCTTTTCTTCACTGCCGAAAGACAAAATGCTGCACAGGTACCTAACTATGCACTAGCTAAAATGCTACGTGAGCATTCACTAGGCATGGTTGCTGGAAATTTTAATGTAAAAATACCGCGGCATGTGTATCTGTTCCAGGATGCAATGTCCCCACAGTATCAAAATGTGGGCTCGACTGCGTCAGTGGCGACCGTACTGACACGGCTAGACGAGCTTAGCCGGCGCGTTGCGGCGCTAGAAAGCGGGCTGACGGCTGATGTGCGCCGCATTCTGCAACTGTTGCAAGCACGCGACCAGCCGATCGCGTCGCATAACGCCGCGCACACGCCCTCACAGCCTCTGCCTAAGGCATCCCTATCGGTGCCACAGAGTGATGTATGTTTTCAAGCGTGCTTTTACAACATTCATTTAGCATTGATATCACAATTGGAATTGTATAATTATAATAATACTGTGTCCATCAGAGTACAGCGCAATGGGAGTGGAACTGGAACGACGAACGCGAGAAAGAGCGTGAGCGTGGCGGCAGCGGCCGTGGAGGTCGCGGGGAGCGCACGCCGAGCGTGCAGCGGTCGGCGTCGGAGCCGCACGCGCCGGTGCCGCCGGTGCTGCCGCCGCCGCCGCATTCACACTCGTTCTACAGGTAGTGTGAGGCAGGCGAGACGAGCGCCCGCCGCGCCCGGCGCTCGACGCGCTCGCTCGCCGAGTCGGCGTCGTGCAGCTCGCTGGCGGACGCGCCAGAGCCGTCCGCGGCCGGCGGCACGCGCCCGCTCACGCCGCGCGCGCGCTTCCACTTCTGCCGACGTATCTCGCGCCTGCGCCATGACGATGCCCGCACCTGCCTGTGACGCGGCCCGACCCGACGACGCATGGACCAATTTTGTACTTCCGTTAACGCCTATAGAACACGTCCTCGCGAGACGCGAGCCTTACCCGCCCGCGCGGAGTCCATTTACGACGAATATTGACTTGAGTGTGGAGACGAGCGGTCCTCGAAAATTATCGGTGGACGCACTCGGAACTTGTAGCCGTTCAGAATACATACTAAGTAGTATTAATGAACAGTGAAAGTACACGAGTGGTTTGAAACGCAATAAGTGATGGATATATAGGGTGCTTTATGTTTTTTTGTAATTTACAGGCTTTTTAATGGAAGCCATATTTACATTATTAATAACACGTACTGATATAATAATTCAATAGCACTATCTGACAGTATTACTGGTCGACGATATTCTATGCGCGCCGGACGTCGTCTGCAGCCCGGCGGACATGCAGCGGTTCAAGAGTATCCTCTTGTTTAAGTTAGCATCAGCTGATTCTGAATGAGGTTTATAAGACTGAGAGACTACGTAACTACCGTGAACTGTATTTCCAGAAGAGAGTAAACGATAAACGCTTTCTACCCGTCCTCGCTCCTCGCCTTTACATTGTAGCTAGGTAATGTGTACTCTACTGTGTCAAGAGCTATTGACATACTCTTCGGTGAAGTGCGTACCTATGTATGAGGAACACTTGAACACTAGGTTTATACACCTACCGCGTTGTCTCTACGTAAATATTTATCGTACCTACGTAAATATTTATTTTACGATTTCCATTTTTGTATGTAGGTACTCACTGACTATCAAAAACATTTAACATTTCGCAAGTGCATAAACCACACAATATTGTTTTACTTAGGCCGCTAACAGATTGACTGCATGTTTGTAGTTAATGCGTGAAGATGATAACGACTTGCAGTCGAGGTCTCGATTGCGTGAAATTGATTACGACTTCACGCATTAACTGCAGACAGGGAGTCAATATGTTAACGGCCTTACACTCGAGAATATAGTCTATATTTAAAAAATCCTTTACTTCCTGTAAGTACTTTACTTTGTGAAACTAATAAAAATTAAGCTCAAATTGTAGTTACGTTGTAACTTGTATCCCTATCCTATAAATGGAGTAAGAGGTTCGCCAATATCATCGTAAGCAATAATAAAACCTACCATTACATATTGTAAGAATCATGGTGATTATATTTTTATGTATAAGAGGCCGTTCCATCGTGATTATAAAAGTATTAAGACATATTCAGATAGTGCTACGTACGACTTCGTTGTTATGATTCTCAACATTGTTATTAACTTAGTACTAGATCTGTAATGGTGTCTCTGATGCTCACATTACGTCAATTAGCATATATTTACTAGCACACTTTATCAAAGCGGCTTTTATAACATTGCAGATAGAAAATATGAAATGAGAGAAAAAATGCATAATTAACGAATTTACAACAATCTGAGAGATTGCTGAATTCGAAACTTTAAAGCTTGACAAATCTAAAAATAATGAATCTATTTTAAATCGCCATAATAACTATTCCCCTTGAAATAATCCCGTCATATGAACTGGTGAGATTTCTCCTCCGGGATATTCCGTTAGTTAACGAGGTAACTTCAACGGGAAAAGTGGTGCTAGACATAAATTGTGACAATAATTTTTACATCTGGCTAATGTCTTTAAGAGTCTAAATGGGTGCATCAGTAGGACACCAATACTTGCTTATTTTACTTCAGTTCGATGGTACATTTAGTTTTAAGTGTATTTTCTAAAATGAAACATAAGTGCTCAATACTTACTTTATCTAAAATCAAATTTGCGTAATGAAAAGAATGAATAATAGACAAGCACTAATCGACCCATTTATGTACTGTATAAATATTCATTCGGAGCTACTCTAATTTCACGGAACTTGGCATATTGTTAACCCATTTCATCAGAATACATTATTTGAGATATTAATTTTCTCGTTACACAAGTAGTTCACTACATAAATTAATCGCTTTAACAAGTTTACCTTAGTTATTTATAGATTGATATTCGGTTTACACAGTGACAATGCTGTATTTAAATTACAGCACGTTTATTTTAGCCTATACATTAGTATTAGAAAATCGTGATTGATTACTGAATTAATTTTAAAACGTTTTACAAGAATAAAAATTTCTCAATAATAATTTTTCCCTCCATTTCCTAATTAACGCATTTGCATTTTGGTAACTTTCGAGATATTGGCACTGTAGCGGACTGTATCAATGGGTTCGGGAGGGTGCTAACAAAGAGTGAGCAAGATCAAAGCAAATGTACTTACAGTGTATCAATTTACTACAAAAACACGTGTGGCTATTAATCCATCGAGTATATAACCAGAAATAGAGACGAAATGTCATTTAATTTGTTTAAAAACCATTCTGCCATATCATTACATTGATAACTGCGCTCCGAGTGGCCAGCCCGAATTCGAAATAATTGACGAGAGTCGTCAATTGTTTCACTTCGAATCGACCAGTTGCTATAATGGACGAAAATTGAAAAATTACATAATTTAATATTGAGTTATCGATGAAATGTTATTCCGTTTGTTTTGTAATTAGATATTTTGCTGTTTTTCCCACTCCACCGAATGGAATAGCCCCCCATAGTTTAAGATATTATCTTTATTACAATAAATACAGAATATTTTTGGAATAGGTATATGGAGACGTATACACAGGTCAGTTGTTGGCGCTGTACTATTTCAGCTTTCTAATTTGTGATTTCAGCGCAAACAAGAGTTGATGTTCAAAAGTGATATCAGTACCATTTGACTGATGAGTTGTCAGGGATAGATGGCCCTTATTTCGTCTGTATTTTTGGTTAAATACCCGATATATCAATTCAAAACAGAAAACAATAGTATAGAAAAGGCGCCAAATCCAATCACATTTAAATTTAGAATTCAAATATAAAACTAACCTTAGAATAACTATATAAAATATATACAAAAGAGATTTGTAGCGACTGCTCCAATTCGCTACAGGCACCTAAAGTAATTTTTTATTTGAGAAATGTCAATTACTGAAATTAAATAAGGTCTAAAAAAACCGCTTAGAGGGAGTTGTAAATCTTGTTTCGTTGATTTCATACTTTGATATCGAGCTTTACACAGACACTCTATCGCGCATAATACAGCAATCTGTGCGAGATTGAGCGCGTGTATAAAGACGATGGAAGGAAAAGGGAAAAACCGCGCGATTGCGCTCATCAGTCGCGCACTCCAACATGCGCCAGTTTCACGCGGTTTAGCCTGCGCTATTAATCTTATTTCGTATATTATTCCGTTGTAACAAGAACGTACACGAGCAATCGCGCGCGAAAGAATATTAGCTTAAAAAAATTCAAGCAGGTAATCGGGCACGATTGCGCGTGCAGGCTTTCCCGCGCGCAATCTTGTATGCTCCTGATCACGCGCGACGGAGTGGGTAACTGTGTAAAGAGGGCCATTAACTCTATATCGTTCAAAATGTCGATTACGTTAATCATGCTTTGGAGGGTAGATCTGTCGTCTGTTTCCGTAAAACTCGATTGACTCCGAAGTTCAGACTGTACAAAATTATATTATGCGTCAAAAGTGGTTTTCTTTCTGGATATAGTTGAATAATACAACATCGTTTAGTATTTGTAGAGAATTTTCCAAAATATTAAAAACGTAAGTAATGGTGAGCAATTATGTTTCAAAACATAAACACAAACAGGCATTCATCTTTGTCCGAATTCTTGAATTCTTATGAATCTCTGTAATTTTAATTGTCACTGTACTCGATTGTATAATTAAGTGTAAAGAATGACATTATTTTTAAATTCTCGCTAAAAGTGTACAAAAATTACTAAATTACATTACTATCTGCCCTGTAATTGTAGTTTCTACATACAATTGTACTCAGCAAATGTTTAAAATATTTATCTAAATACGAATATGAATTAATAAACTGATCAGAAATGTAGCTGGCTGAATAATATGTAAACTGTACCTGTAAATCACCCAAACCTTTTTGTTAATGTTCTAAATTTAAAAAAAAACTTCGTTTAAAATTGTTTTTCGGTAATTATTCGCACCCTTGGTGTAACAAGGTCACATCAAATTACGATTTATCACGAGAGAGATTTAAAAATTCTACGTACAAAATTTATCGACAACTTTTTTAGCTTAATTAAGAGAGTTATAAAATTTCATTTCATACATATTTTATTTCATGTAGGTCATAATATTTTTATGACTTTCATGTGATAAAAGCTCTTGACGTATGATCACATGTAGCTTTATTATACCAAAGGTACGATTTATAGTTTAGTTTGTTTAATTTGAGAAAACAAGTCCTGTGTTGAAAACGTGATCCTGATGTGCACAAAGAACTATTTTAAAATAAAAAACCTGAGCTGCGAACAAGACTACAACGAGAGCATTCACATGGAAAAAATTCTGCTATTAATTTTCCAATATACTTAATTACCTGCTCGTGTGTTTCTGGTTACTAATAAACTTGGACCGGAATTTGTATCCTTCTTACATTATTGATCAAATTCGTATTCCAAATTATATTTCTATCTCTAATTACAGAAGTAGAAATATAAACAATATGGCGGATAAATGATTTTACAACATGCGCACAAGTGTTACGTCTTTAATGCAATTTCTTGAGTATAGTATTTTTAGTTCTGCGGAATATATGATGTAAATATTAAACGTAGACATAGGTTTGTAAATTCGTCAATTCCAGAAGTAATTAATTCTCAATCATGCTTCACATTTATATACTGTCGCCGAAGCACTTACAATTCGTATGATACGTTCAAATTTGCTTTTATAGAATATAAATATACCTACGTAGACTTAGGCAGTTCTCTAATAGAAGCAGGTGTAGTCTCTTTTTGTTTTTAAAGCAACGACAAGTTAAACTTAGTACGCGACAACGTCTGCGCAGGTTATTTATTACAGAATCATTTTTACTTGTCGATACTTTGACTTATTCAATCTGTCAGTTTATAGTAATCTCGTAGGCAACACAGTACTTCATTAATTAACACGGCTTTATGATTAGGCTGTTTAATACATAACTAAATCAACTGGCTGCACAGTTGTTACCACAGTGCTTTTGATAGGAACATAACGGCTGCTTTTCAAGGAGAATGGCCCAAACCAGTATAGATCATTGGTAGATTTACACATGACATTTATATTCAAAATGTGCTTAATTTTATTGTGAATAATTCTATGCTTTCCATTGGTTGAAATTATCACGTGATAACATTCAGACGGTACGCGATTCGTCAACTATGCGCGCCAAATACCTAAAAAACGATTTTTTTAAACCATCTTCCTGATGACTTGAGTGTTGTTGAGGTTGGCTTTTAGAAAGCCATAGATAAGTGGTAGCGCCAAAGCTGGAGAAAGTAGAGTGAAGAGATTACGATTTAGTCGCTGTTAGAAAACAATGAGATAAAATAGTCATCACCAGTTGGAAGCGCCGAGAATCTGTGACCTTTTTTTTTTCATTTATTCACAATGAAACGTACTTCATACAACACAAGATTTTAGATAGGTATTTAAAGTGTATAGTTAAAAATTCAGTAGATGTAATGTATTCATAATTTGAAATAGATAATCTCATATACCAAGAACACTAAAACATAGATATGGCTTGACTGAAGTAAAGGTAACAACAATATTCACATAATATAGTTTTAAAGATGTCGTTTTAGTAAACCGAACAACTGGTATTAGTTTCATACAAAAGCATAACTATAAATTAAATATCACTGTTGTAGATAGATCATCCTATCAAAAAATAAATCGATAAATACATACACCAACTAAACAAGTCATTCTTTTGATTGAAGAGTACAAAAAACTGTCATTTGTCTTGTTATTCTGTAGGTACAGTACAACTATGTGCTAAATATCTCCGGGCAATATTCGAATTTCCGAATTCACCCGAATTTCCATACCTAGTAATTATTAGAATTATTCTAGTGTCATATAGCATTAAAAATAGTTATTTGTTATGCGAGGCTCCAAAGTTCTTGTTTGGCGCGTGTGCTTGTATTGAAACCTAAGTAAACGAAATACACAGCCTAAGATTGAAAATTTCAAAAAATATAATCCTGAGCATAACGAGGGTTTCAAGACACGAGACGCAAAACAACTTTGCTGCCGAGCGAAGCACAAACTTTTCACCGCACTATAGCGAGAAAAACGGTAGATGAAAGAAAAACAGTTAAACTATAACAAAATAATTTAACAAAATTAGTTATCGTTGTCAATTTAATGTCACCAATAATAAGAATAAAATATACCAACGGTTATATTACATAAATAATGTACGACAAATCGCGTAGTCGAACGTGTTTTACAGATTTCAATTTCGATTTCGATTTTACGAACATTATTTACAGATTTCGAATGAGAAAGAAAGCCTTTCCGAAGTAATGAGATGAAAAAATTATTCCTGCTTT